CAAGTAACCAAACCTTTTAAAATTTTAATTGTCACATATTTGTACATATTTTTGATGTATGGTACTATAGTTCCTGAATAAAATGTGTACTGAGCAAATAAAATTAATTAGCACAAACATCTTCTCCAACGTTTATTATTTCACTCTTCTATACGTTATTTTGACTTATATCATAACTTGCTATAGACTATAGCTATCCTACTGTGATATAGAACACTAGAACTACTTTATTTTAGCTAATGTATTTTGGTATTTATTATCTAACCTGTTTCTCTTCCCCTTCCCCTACCCTTACTAGTCTCTAGTGACCACTATTCTACTCTTCTTCCATGAGATCTACTCTTTTAACTACCACAAATGAGAACATGCACTATTTGTTTTTATGTGCTTGGTTTATTTCAGTTAACACAATGTTTTTCAGTTCTGTCCATGTTGTTATGTTCTTGGCAAGTTCTAATCTAGTCTGTCTTCCTTCCTTCCTTCCCTCCTTCCTTCCCTGCTTCCTTCCCTCCTTCCTTCCCTGCTTCCTTCCCTCCTTCCCTCCTTCCTTCCTTCCCTCCTTGCCTCCTTCCTTCCTTCCCTCCTTCCCTCTTTTCTTCCTTCCCTCCCTCCTTTCTTCCTTTCTTCCTTCTCTTCCTCTTCATCCTCCTCATCCTCCTCCTTCTGTAGCCAGGCTGACCTCAAACTCACCATCTTCTTGCCTCAGCCATTTCTATGTCTTCTTTTAAGAAATGACTATTCAGATTATTGGACCATTGTAAAATTGGATTATTAGATTTTTTTCCTGTTTAATTTTTTGAGTTCCTCATATATTCTGGACATTGATTCCTTGTTGGCTGAATAGTTTGAAAATATTTTCACCTTTTTGGTTGCTTACTTTGCTGTAAAGAAACTTCTTGATTTGATATAATCCCATTTGTTTAGTTTTGCATTTGTTGCCTATGCTTTTGGGGTCTTACTGAAACAATGTCTTGAAGTGTTTCCCTTATGCTTTCTCCTAGTAATTTTATAGTTTTAGTCTTACATTTAGGTCTTTGATCCATTTTGAGTTGATTGTTGTACATGGGAAGAGACAGAAGTCTAATTTCATTACTCTGCATATGTGTGTCCAGTTTTCCTAGCATTATTTACTGAAGAGGGTATCTTTTCACCAATGTATTTTCTTGGAACCTTTGTTGAACATCAATTGGCTATAGGTACATAGATTAATTTGTATGTTGCCTATACTGCTCTCTCTTATTTTATGTGTTAGCTTTTATGACAGTGCCATTCTGTTTTGGATACTGAAGTTTTGTAGGAAGTTTTGAAGTGAGGTATTGTGATTTTTCCAGCTTTGTTCTTTTTGATCAGCATGCACTGACTACTTGAGATCCACACAAATTTTATGATTGTTTTTCTATTTCTGTGAGCAATGTCATTCATATTTTGATGGGATTACAGTCAATCTGTAGACATCTTTGCATAGTATGGACATATTAACAGTATTAATTCTAATCCATGAACATGGGATGGCTTTTATTTATTTATTTATTTATTTATTTATTTATTATTCATATGTGCATACAAGGCTTGGGTCATTTCTCCCCCTGCCCCATCCCTCCTTACACCCACTTCCACCCCCTCCCTCTCCCCCCTAACCCCTCAATACCCAGCAGAAAACTATTTTGCCCTTATTTCTAATTTTGTTGTAGAGAGAGTATAAGCATAAATAGGAAGGAACAAGGGTTTTTGCTGGTTGAGATAAGGATAGCCTTATACAAGGAGTTGACTCACATTATTTCCTGTGCGTGTGGTGTTACCTTCTAGGTTAATTTTTTTGATCTCACCTTTTCTCTAGTTCCTCTGGTCCCCTTTTCCTATTGGCTTCAGTTGCTTTTAAGGTATCTGCTTTAGTTTTCTCTTGTGTTAAGGGCAACAAAATGCTAGCTAATTTTTTAGGTGTTCCTTACCTATCCTCACCCCTCTTGTGTGCTCTTGCTTTTATCATGTGCTCAAAGTCCAATCCATTGTTGGTTTGCCCTTGAAAAATGTCCACATATGAGGGAAGAACATACAATTTTGTGGTCTTTTGGAGCCAGCTAACCTCACTCAGATGATGTTTCTACAACTCCATCCATTTACCAGCTAATGATAACATTTCGTTCCTCTTCATGGCTGCATAAAATTCCATTGTGCATAAATACCACATTTTCTTAATCCATTTGTCGGTGGTGGGGCATCTTGGCTGTTTCCATAACTTGGCTATTGTGAATAGTGTCGCAATAAAACATGGGTGTGCAGGTTGCCTCTGGAGTAACCTGTGTTCACAGTCTTTTGTGTATATCCCAGGAGTGGTATTGCTGGATTCAAATGGTAGATCAATGTTTAGCTTTTTAAGTAGCCTCCAAATTTTTTTCCAGAGTGGTGTACTAGTTTACATTCCCACCAACAGGGTAAGAGGGTTCCTTTTTCCCCGCATCCTCGCCAACACCTGTTGTTGGTGGTATTGCTAATGATGGCTATTCTAACAGGGGTGATGTGGAATCTTAGTGTGGTTTTAATTTGCATTTCCTTTATTGCTAGAGATGGTGAGCATTTTTTCATGTGTTTTTTGAATTTCTTCTTTTGAGAAAGTTCTGTTTAGTTCACTTGCCCATTTCTTTATTGGTTCATTAGTTTGGGGAGAATTTAGTTTTTTAAGTTCCCTATCCTGGTTATCAGTCCTTTGTCTGATGTATAGCTGGCAAATATATTCTCCCACTCTGTGGGTGTTCTCTTCAGTTTAGAGACCATTTCTTTTGATGAACAGAAGTTTTTTAGTTTTATGAGGTCCCATTTATCTATGCTATCTCTTAGCTGCTGTGCTGCTGGGGTTTCGTTGAGAAAGTTCTTACCTATACCTACTAACTCCAGAGTATTTCCTATTCTTTCCTGTATTAACTTTAGAGTTTGTAGTCTGATATTAAGATCCTTGATCCATTTTGAGTTAATCTTGGTATAGGGTGATATACATGGATCTAGTTTCAGTTTTTTGCAGGCTGCTAACCAGTTTTATGGGATGGCTTTCTATTTTTTAAATTCTGTCCTTTTAAAATTTCTTTTATCAGTGTTTTATAATTTTCACTTTAGAGACCTTTCACTTCCATGGCTAAATTATTTTTATGTATTATTTTTTGTAGCTATTGTAAATAGGTTATTTTCTTAATTTCTTTTTCTGCAAGTACATTATTGTTAACCCCACCTTTTTCCTCTTTGTTAGTATATATTAATTGTACCAAGGCCAACCTCTTATTTTATAAACAAGTTTAATCTTAGAAATGGTCATCCTGTGCAAAACATTATATGATACTTTAGCAATTTTACTAAGCTGACCAATAAATTCCTTTTTATATTTTAAATATAAAATCTATAACTATCATAGACTGTGCACAAATGTCCAGAGGTGAGGCAAGGAACCTGGCTGTGTGAAGAAAATGACCAGTCCTGCTCCCTTCACAGTAGTTTTGTCATTGGATCCCATAAATATTGTAGAAGCCATGATAAATGATGAAGAACCATATAAATGTGAGACCATATTTTTGTTTCCAGGCAAGACAGATAGATTAGGCGATTTTCTCAAAAATCATCTGAACTCATGTGAAGAACTTATACCCCTTGTCCTAATATCCTCTTGGTTCAGACTTCCCAGAACTCGAAATCATTTTTGGTATTCCATTACTACACTTGGGAAGCTGTCACATAAACTCCTGGGTTTTTGTGGGCTTAAGAAAATTCCTTGATGCTTACCCCACACTTTGATATGAACCAAGGTGCCCATACTTTCTTCTTCCTATAAAGCAGATTTCCATAAAGGA